AGTGGCAATCAGCCGCGAGGGGCTGCGGCCTCCACGGGGGCGCGCCGTCTTTGCCGTCGACGCCGCGGCGCCGGCGACGCCGAGTTGCCGAGGGCCCCGCGAGGGGGCTCCACGTGCCTTCGGCGGCTGTGGACGAGGCAGAAGCGCGACGTTAGAATTGCTCAACGTGCGCTTCGCTGCCCTGGTGGGCTTCCTATGGGCAGGTGCGCCGGCGGCGTCCGAATCGCATGGCCCATGCGTCAGATTCTACGCGGTCGACAGGGCGCGGCGCGACGCGCGCGCCGCGCGCGCGTGCCCGAAATATTCTCGCGATCGCACGCGCGGGCCGAGGACCGCCGCGATTCGCGCGATGATCGCGGCAGCCCGCCCCCCAGAGCTGAGGCGGGGTCTTTCAGAGCTTCGGGCGTGCAGCTGCGACTTGGCGTGGCGCGGTTTGCGTTGAACCTCGCCAGCTGGCTGCGTTTGCAAAGGGGAAGGTGCGGGGGGCGAAGGAGGGAGCAATGGCGTCAGACGGCGCACTGAAGAGTTCGGGGCTCAGCTTCCGAGGCGCGCCCACGCGCGAGGAGCCTCTGCTTTTGCAGAGCTCAAGGGCGCTTGTGCATTGCGCATGCATGCGCGCAGTCTGCGGGGCACCAAAGTAGACTGATGTTGGGCGCGCGGCGAAAGCATGGATCCTTTCTTGCGCCTTTCTCGGGTCGACGCGCTGCAGCATCGTCTGCCTGCGCCCTGGTTCACCTGGCGCCATCTCGAAGCCTCGCGCGCCTCCGCGCGTCGGTCATCGCTGCCAGGGTCGTTCCCAAAACAGAGGGTGTTGCGCATGCAAACGCGCGAACCGCTCGAGACATCGCCACAATCTGGGCGCCACTCCCGGAGTGCACCCGCCTCTTGCAGCTCCCCCGTGGGGGCGCTGAAGCCAGCGCCTCGCGCGGGACATCCCCGCGCGCTGCTTCGAAAGCAGGGGGCATTGCGTATGCAAACAAGCCGGCCATATTTCCCTTCCAAACTTTTGGCTTGATTGGGTCCGAGTATGACATGTTCTGGATGTGAGTGAGTCTGGGTGTGAATGAGTGTGATTGGTTGTGCGTGTCTAAGCATGACTGTGTCTGAGTTTGTGGACGACGGTCAACGAAGAGGAAGCTTGTTCCCAGATTTTTTTACAGATGCTTCAAACATCGTGTAAATGGTTTAAACGCGTAAATACATGTTTGAAGCATTTGTATAATACGATTCCGGTATTTTATATAAGCTTGTGAGTAATTTATGGGGTTATTCGGGTGTCCTTTGTCATGGCATCCACAAGTCTCAGTGGCAGCGGGCCTGAGTGCGATTGAGCCTGAGTGAAAGTGGATCTGTGCATGAACGGGTCTCCACGGGCGACCTTCCAGGCGCAGCCTTGCATTGCCCATGTGTGCGCCGTCTGCGAAATAATGGGCGCACTGATGTTGGACGCGATGTGAAGGCATTCATCTCTCGCGCGCCCCCTCTCGGCCCAGAAACTGGGGTCCCGCGAGGCGCCGCGTCGCCCGTCTGCGTCCTGCTTCGCCCGTCGCCACCCCCAAGCCTCCGCCCCCTTCTGCGCGTCGCGCAGCGTTGCCAGCTTTATTTCCAAAGCAGACGGCATTGCGCGCGCGAACAAGCACACCGCCTAAGACATCACCGCAATCTGCGCGCGAGTCCTGGAGCCCCCCCGCCACGGGCAGCCCCCCCACCCCCATTTCGCAGTCCCCATCGTGGGTGCTGAAGCCAGCGCCTCGCCTGAAACATCCCCGCGCAATGCTTCGAAAGCACAGGGTGTTGCGCGTGCGAACAAGCAAAACGGATTGCCCCCAGTCTTTTGGCGTGACCGAGCATGGGCATGACAGGGCCATGGCGTGAGTGTGTCTGGGTGTGAGCGAGTGGGTGTGGATGAGTGTGGGTGAGTGGGTGCGTCTGAGTATGGGCGAGTCTGATGAGTATGGTTGGGTCTGAGTGTGGGTCGGTCCAAGTATGAGTGAGTCAGGGTACGAGGGGGTCTGAGTCCGACTGGGCCTGAGTGCGATATGGTCTGCGCGCGAGTGGGCCTGCGTAGGAGTGAATCTCCAGAGGAGATCTTCCAGGGTCAGTCTTGCATTAATCATATTTGTCCACCGTCTGCGACGGGATGCGAAGGCACAATTCCTCTCCCGCGCGCCCCCTCGTGGGTCAAAAAGTGCGAGCCGACAAGGTGCAGCGTCGCCTGTGCACCCCCCGCTTCGCGCGTCGCGCAGCGTTGCCAAGGCGCCCGCGACTGGCGCCCCAGCGAACCGTTGTCTCGGCGTGGGCAGCGCAAGCGTTGATTGCCAAGTTTGCCGAGCCGACGCAAAGGCGTCGTCGGCTGGCACAGACAGCCATTGCATGCTGAGCAGTGGGGAACCGACCCCAGCCCCCACAATCATGCATTTTACATTTCAGCGCCCTGCAGGCGAGGCCATTGCCAGCTGCCGCAGAGGGGGCGCCGCGCACGCGGCGACGTCCTGGGCCCGCTCGACACGCCCGCGCCCGCGCCAGCGTTCCGAGGGCCGCGCGTGCCACGGCCGCGGCATGCAATTTGAGGCGACGGCGGCGCTGCCCCTCGAGCGGCAGCGCCGCCGGCCCAGCCGAGGGCCCCGCCCCCGCTTCCATCGCCCCCTGCATAACCGCGCCGACGGAAAAGTTTAGATCGGGGGCGTTTCTCTTAAGGCAACAGGTGCACTAGAAAGTTGTTGAATCATATGAACAAGCTTGTCTGTTTGTCAGACTTTTCGTGGCTCTCCTGCGCGAGACTTGCGCGAGACTTTCCGCTCAGGAGAAGTTTCGATCGATTTGATGTTGAGTTTGCATGCGTTGTTATTCGCCTGATGCCTAAACTTTGCTTTTGGGGTGGATCTGCAATTTTCGATGCGCGCCCGGGCGCCGTCCGGGCTTCTGGCCAGCATGGGCCGACGCGCTCCTTGGTTTTTGCTTTGGCACGACACGAGCGCGCGAATATCCACAACGCCATGGGGCGTTGGCCTCGTGTCTGCACGTGGCGGCGCCTAGTTCAAACGCAGACGAGCGTGGCAGAAACGCGCCGTTCGCATGGAATTGTTCGGCGTTGTCGTTGGCTGGCCGTCGAGCAGTTTCCGCTTGCAGCACGCGCGCCGTTTGACTTGGCTTAATGTTCCTCATGCGGGGGGCGGGGGGCGCTTTTCATGTCGTCGCATGAAGAGCCCCAAGTGACACAGTTCCACTGCAGAGGTGAACGCGCGCACCACTGCGTCGCAGTTCGCCCAAGCGGGGTCGCATTCGGAAGCAAGAGCGGGCCAGGAACATCTCGTCTTCAACCATGATCACGACATCAGGTTGGCATCGAGAACCCAACCGACGCGCGAGCGACGCGATCAAACTTGGATGGTCGTTCGTGTAATATGCCACATGGTTACCTCCAGCGGCTCATCCATGCGGCTGTTGTCAATACCTCGACAATTGTTGCTGGCTGGCGGACGTCAAACGGGCCGCAGCGAAATTTATTTTGAGTTCGCCGCTGGTGTTGCAGGTGGCTCTGGCTGTGCCACTGGTGCTGCTGTTATTGCTTTCGCTCTTGCTTTAACAATTGTTTTAGCACCTGGCCTTTCGCGCGATATCTGGTGTCGTGTGAGCGTGCGCTGCCGCGCGCATTTGCAATGTGTTCGGCATCTCTTTTCTTTGCAAAACCGACAGGGCCTCGAATGAGCTTGAGCATGTTCGCTTGCGCACGGGGGAAATGACCAGGTGCGCGCGGAACCGAAGAGCCCCGACATGTACAAACTTTCAGAGGCGAAACAAAACGACATGATGTGGAGCCAATTTGAACTCGAGTTATAACTTTTAGCGGATGATTGGGGCTGAATAGTCATGTGATCATGTACGACTCGTGCCGGTTAGTGGCTCGAGTTCTGCGCCAGACTGTTCTGCCCGTCTCATTGTATTTCGTGAAACGTCCGAATTCCATGTTTCACGTGGTGGCGAGGGCCCGTCACATTGGGGCACAGGGAGAATTGACGCACAATGTATTGACGAACCACGGTGAGTATATCGTCTCATACATGCAGTCGAACATACCCCAGCAGCTGCTTGTTGGAAAACTCGGCGCGACCCCGTTCGGGGTCTTTTTTCGCTTTGCTGCCGAATTCGCCGCGTTTCAGAAACAATGGCAGCGTTTTTTGTTTGTTTTGTTTGTTTGTTTGTGTGTGTATGTGTGTGTGTGTTTGCGAAGTCACACGACTCTGCTTCAACCCCTTCAAGGAGCTCCATGTGGCAACCGTAAAACTTTGCACTGGGTTCCCGCCGTGCCTGAAGTTGGCCCTAAAAGGACCCCCTGGTATCCGAAAGGGCTTGGAAGGTGCACGTTTTTTCCCCCTTCAATTGTTCGCCCCCCCCCCCCCATCCAACAACTCCCCAACGCCCCTCCCTCCATGTAGCCACCGCCGTGGTGCACATCAAAAACGACCGATCGCAGAATCCAACATGGTTGCATCAGAGCATAGACGCTGATATCACAAGTTGCTCAAGCCAATCCGAAGAGAAAAAAAGAGCTCGTAGACCAGCAAAGCGAGCTCACTCTCCCAGTGCTCACACATCCCACGAGGAGATTTATCCATAACCGCGGCCTGGACGGTCGACATTTGGGGACGTCGGCGGGCGTGGGTATGGGTATATTCGGGCCACGGGGAGGCAAAGCATGTCCATGTCCACCGCCCGCTGGGGTCCCAGGACGTCGCTTCCACGGGCGGCGGACACGGACACGCCCCCGCCTCGCCACGCATCTCAAACATGCAAGCCCACGCGAGCAGACTTGCCAAAACCTACCAGAGAAGTTAGGGGGCCACATACGAACCCTACCCCTACCCCCCACGATTTCTGAGGCGGCGGGTGGGGTTCACTTCGCTCGGGAGCTCCCGAGCGAAGTAAACCCCACCCTTCCCCTCAGAAATCGTGGGGGGTAGGGGTAGGGTTCGTATGTGGCCCCCTATTCTGGGAAGCTTGCCAGGTCTTCCCCGAAGGGCGCAGAAGTCTCCCCAGGAGGCGCGAGAGAAGGACTTCTGAGAAGCCCGGGGGGGGAAGCGAGAAGGGGCAGGCCTTCTTCAGACGTCGAAGAAGCCCACGCGAGCAGACTTGCCAAAACCTACCAGAGAAGCCGATACCCCAGCAGGCCGAGATGCCCCCGCTCGCCAGGCGCGCCCGCGCGGCGCCGGCGGGGCCGCGGCGGCGCGGCCCGCGCGCGGCGCCGGCGGCCCTCGCGGCCTGCCTCGTGGGCGCCGCCGCGGCCGCCGTGCTGGGCCCTCGGGGGAGAACAAACATTGTATGGGAGGGGGAGGAGGGGGAGGAGGAGGAGGAGGAGGAGGAGGAGGAGGAGGAGGGGAGGAGGAGGAGGAGGAGGAGGAGGAGGAGGAGGGGGAGGGGGAGGAGGAGGAGGAGGAGGAGGAGGAGGAGGAGGGAGGAGGAGGAGGAGGGAGGAGGAGGAGGAGGAGGAGGAGGAGGGAGGAGGAGGAGGGGAGGGGAGGAGGAGGAGGAGGAGGGGGGGAGAGGAGGAGGAGGAGGAGGAGGAGGAGGGAGGAGGAGGAGGAGGAGGAGGATCCCCGATTCAACGGGGCAGCAGAGCAGAAAGCTCAAGGAAGGCGGCCTCGGTCCGCCCCCCCCCTTTTGTATTGTATGGAATGTGCCCCAAAGGCTTCAGACCCGGGAGGATTCCTTACGGTCGCACCGAGGTCTAGGATCGAGGTCGGCTCGCGGCCAGGAGCCCTGGTGTTCTCCGCTTGCGTAGGAGGTTTTGGTACATCCTGGGAAGGGCACCCCTGGATGTTCTGTGTATCTTGGCCGACGGAGGGTCTCATGTTCTTGAGGGGTGTTATTCTCTCCTGGGTCCGATTGTATCTGATGAGGGCGGCGGTGATATCTATGGCCACGCCTCAATTGGAGTTCCACCAGCTGCCAGGCCCCAGATTCCTCATCTAAAGGTTCCTCGGGGGTGGACAGAACCCCCACCCTGACGTCGATTAGGGCGCCGCGCCCGTCATTTTCCAAGCTTGCGCCCGCCAGGTTTGGGCCCGAGATCGTTTCCATTAAACCACGGTTTACGAAGGGGGCTCTGTCCATCCCCGAGTTCGTCGTCAGATGCCCTCACCGTAGTGGCCTCCGGCCAGTGCCGCCGATCGGGGGCGTTCCCGACGCTGTCGAAGACTCACGGCGACGACGACGACGACGACGACGACGACGACGACGACGACGACGACGACGACGACGACGAACGACGAGCGTCGACGGAATATCGACGACGGTTACCGACGACCACCGACGACGACGACGACAATGGCGGTTGACGACGAGGATGGACGATACGGCGAGCGATGATTCGGGGGAGGAGGAGATACTCCTCGCGCTTCGCGGGGTGCACGTCCGGAACACGTTCAGTGAAGTCGCAGTGGGGCCTCCCAGGAGCCTCTTTGGGGCCTCTTTGGAGGCTACTTGGGGGCTTCTTGGGTGTCTCTCGGGAGCCTCTTAGGGGCCTCTTTCGGGCCTCTTGGGGCCCCTCGGGGGCGTCTGGGGTCGTCTTGGCGCGCTCTTGCGCCCGTCTGGCCCTCTCAGAGGCCGTCCTGGCGGCCTCTCGGGGCATTTTTGCTGCTCCACTTGTGGGCCTCGGGGACCGTTTTTGGTCCATCTTGGAGGCTACTCGGGTTGCCATGAGCTCCCGAGAGTAGAAAAAGGCGAGGATGTTAACATCGGCCAAACACCAACGTCAAATCAATGCTCTTTTGCCTCTGGAGGCGTTCTTGGGCGCCCCCTTGGGGCCATATTGCGGGCATTTTGGATCGTCTTGGACACGTTCGGGGCAGTCTGGAGGCCGCATTGAGCCGTCTTGACGCCCTCTTGGGCCCCCTTAGAGGTCCAAGAGGCAGAGTTGCTATATTTGTCGATGGGTTTTTGCACGTTTTGGGCCCCCAAGCGGGGGGGGCATCTTGGTCGGCGGATGCGGCGCGACTCCAACGAGGTTTTTTAGGGGGGTGCGTGCATCATCAGAGTGAGGGGGCCGAACGGTCATTCATTGTCTCTGGTCGCGTGACTGAAGTGAGGTTCCGCGGTGCAGATAGTTGTTGTGATTGTTGTTGTCGTCGTTGAATTTTCAGTTCTGTAGAGTAATTATTGTTGATCCACACCTCTGGCGCACACTGTATTTTTCTAATTCAAGTGCTCCTCCGGGGCTCGCACCCTGGTTTTTAAATCCGAACTACAGCAACAACGGCTCGCGCTTGATATTTCCTCAGAAGTTATTCCAACATCCTGGTCTCGCGGGGGACTTCTCACAATTTATGCAGGAATCGGGCTCTCGCGCGGGACTTCCTCGAAATTCATTCAGACGCCGTGCCCTCGACATTCAGGAATCACGCTCTGGCTTTGGTCTTTCTCCCGATTTACTTGGGAATCGCGCTATCGCTCGAGACTTTCTCGCAATTCATGCAGGACTCACGCTACAGCAACCCGCCTGCTCGACCTGGCCGCCTGGGCCCGCCTTCCCGACCAGCTCGTGCTCCATCCTTCTCCATCCCCCTTCCTTCCGCCCTCTCTTCTTATTTTTCAGGCGCTGCGCTAAATGCACGTGGCAGGTAAGGACGATGTATCCCCAGGGTTACGATCAAAGACGACGAAAGTGGGGACTGAGGGTTTGGTATATACATGTTGAATGGCACGCGAGCCATATTGGAGGGAACAGCCTTAATTTATTGTTGTTGAATTCTCGTTCTTGTAAAGTGATTTTTGTTGATCCCCCCCCACACCTGTGCACACATGTTTTTTTTCAAGTGAAGTCCCCCCCTCGGGGCACGCACCTTGTTTTCTTTTTTATCAGGGGGAGTCTTCCCGCTCAAAATCCATGCCCCTGGCCCCCGGCTAGAACAGCGACGGCTCCCGCTTGATACATCTTGCCAATGTATTCCAAAGTCGCGCTCTCTCGCAGGACTTCCTGACACTTTCTATGTTGAATCGCACGCGAGCAGATCAGAACGAACAGTCTTGAGATAAGTGTTGAACTCTCATTCTTGAAGATGAATGGTTGTTGATCCTCTCTCACTGGTGCACATTTTGCTTTCTGATTGGAGTTCCTCTCTGGGGCTTGCACCCTGTTTTGTCTTCCTGCTCAAACGGTGTTGTTGGGCCCCGGTTTACAACAACAACGGCTCCCGCCTGAGGCTTCCTCACAATGTATTCCCAAATCGCGCTCTCGCGCGGGACTTCCTCACGACTTGTACAGGAATCGCGCTCTCACGTGGGACTTCCTCGCATTGCATTTCAGAATTCGAGCTCTCCTTTTAGTTTTTTTGAGTTCACTTGGGAATCGCGCTATCGCTCGAGACTTCCTCGCGATTCATGCGTGACCCACGCTTCGGCAGCCCGCCAGCTCGACCTGGCCGCCTGGGCCCGCCTTCCCGACCCGCCCGTCAGGGTCTGCCCGCCCGATCGGCCCGTTTGGTTATGCCACGTGTTTTCTGTCTCTAGTCCCCCTGCAAAATTCTCTCGTGCTCCATCCTTCTCCCTCCCCTTCCATCCGTCCCCACTCCCTTGTTTTGGGGGCTGCATTAACTGCAAGGAAGATATATCCCAAAGGGGGTATCATCGAAGACGAAGAGGGGGATACAGAATTTTTGTATGTACGTGTTGGATGACACGCGGGCAGATAGGAGCGAACAGTCTTCGAGTGATTGCTGCTGTTGCATATTCATGTCTAGAATGTACATGGGCGTTGTGGTATGGTGTGCAACAGCCAGGTGTAGCGCACGGCTGCTGTGTTGTACACACGCAGTGTTGTGCAAGCGTGCGCTGTGGTGCACGCTGGCATGTTAGCGTTGTGTTCCCAACGACAAATAGAAGCACTGTGTATTCCAAGTGCTATCCCTATACAGCCCTGTACACTTCCAGTGCCATCCCTATACAGCACTGAATAATCCCAGATCTAGCCCTATACAGACCCTTATGCTCCCAGTGCCAATTCCTCTCCTTTACCGCTCTGTGTAGTTCCAGTACCATCCATATACCGCTCTGTCAGCTCTGTATAGTCCCACTGCCATCTCCACTCTGCATACTCCCAGGGCCATCCCTATACAGCTCTGTATTCTTCTAGTGCCATACCTGAACGCATCCCTATACAGCCATGTCTGCTCCCAGCACCAGTCCTATGCAGCACTGTATCATGGTCCCCGTACGAACCCTTTGCAGGCGCGAACATCCCATCACAAACCAATGCAGCCTTGTACGCTCCCAGTACTATCTCCATGCACCCCTGTCCCTGGGCTGGGTAGGCCGACGCGAGCGATTCTGGCAGACCCTGGGCCAGCCCGCGCCAGGCCAGGCCGGCCCGTGAAAAGATTGGTCTGGGCCCTTGGAGACTTACATTTTTGGCTGCAGCAGCAGCACAGTCCTCTCAGTGCTGCATGAGCCTTGGCCTTGGGGCATCTCCATTTCGTGCCAGAGGCACGGTGGCGGGTTTTACATGATTCGCAAAACGTGTGTGAAGGACGCTTCTGGCTGAGACGGCTGTGTTTTATGACATCGGCTTTCTGTTCCGAGAGCGCTGCGTCTGCCCCAGGATATTCTCTCGTCCCAAGAGAATGTAGGGGTAGGTCTCTATGAATACCAGCACTGTCGGCCTCTGCTCACCTGGGCATGTTTCGGGTTCGAGGTTCGAAGTCCTCGGGCTTTTCCGCTGGTCTTCGGCGGTTTTGCACGCCGAGGGCGTGGAAGGTGCCCCGGACCGTCTAACACGGCGGCCGCCGCGGAGGCCCGAGACGTGACCCGAAAACCACCAGGCGCCGAAGAGAGGAGGGAGGACCAGGGTCAGGGGCAGCCTTCGGGGAGGATGGGCTCGGGGGGGGCGGAGGAGGAGGAGGAGGAGGCGGAGGAGGAGGAGGCGTTAGGGACTCCGATCGAAGAAGAAACAACGCCGTAAACATCAGCTTTTGCCGCTCGACGCGAGTTTCTTGGATCCGCGCTGGGCCCTCCCCCCCCCGGCGGCGCCTCCGGCGCCGCTCCTGGCGCGCTCCGCGCGCCAGGGAGGGGCGTCCAGCGCAGATCCAAGAAGTCCGCGCGGAGCGCCAAAAGTTTAATGTTTATGGCGTTTGTCCTTTTCTAATCGACCCCTGATTGGCCGTAGGTCGCCGATTGGGTGACCGAGTCAGCTCGCCCCGCCCTGGAACGTTTATTCGCTTTCGGGGGCCTGTTGCCGATCAATCGGCGATGCATCGCCAATCTCAGCTCGATTTCCCCCCCCCCCCCCCGAGCCAGTGTCCCCCTGACGTACCCCCTCGCAGGGGAGGAAGAGATACAGTGGAGACCCATGCCAAGAAACAGCCTGCTTGCCTCCAGGGGGCCCTGGGTTTCCTGGGCTTCGACGATGGTTCTGCCGTGGGAGGCGCGACGCTCCTGCACCAGAAGTCCATGGACGTCCTGGGGTCTCGGGGTGTTTTTTTTTGTGGAAGGCTTCCTGTGGACTTCGTAGAGCTACTTGGAAAGAAAGGGGCCTCGTTCCTGATTTTTCCTTCCTCAGGTCAGGCCGAATTCTGTATCCTCCACATCCCCCGTACGACAACGTACCATCACCAGCAACAGCCAAACGAGGAGGGCCTCCACTGCCTGCCGCTGTCCGCATCGCTCGGTGCCCCCCCCCCCCCCGCAGGTCCCGGCCACGAGCTGTGGCTGGGCGGGCGGGGCGCGGCGGCAGTGCCGAGGCAGCGGCACGTGTGCCGGCAGCAGGTCTCCGACGCCGGCACGGGCTTCGCGGCGGAGGTGGCGCGGCGCCCGCCTGGTGGCGACCTCGACGAGCGGCAGCGGGAGGCTCACGACGCGGCGCTGCGCGGGGAGAGCGTGTTCGTCACGGGGGGCGCGGGCGTGGGCAAGTCCACCGTGCTGCTGCGCATCATCGAGTCCCTGAGGGGCAAGCTCGGCGATGCTGACGGGAGCTCACTGCGTAATGAACAAGCCGCCTCCGCCCACCCCGAAGGCCCTAGGCCGCCCGGTTTTCGGGCCGGCGGGTGTACGTGTTCCACTGTGTTTCCTCAATGTTCTGGAGTGCCCCCTCCCCACCGAAGATTGACGAGCCAAATGGTGCCTTCGGGTTGGGTTGGGGTGGCTTGGTAGGTACAGTCGGACCGAGGTATAAGATCGATGTCCGTTCGGGGAGAGTGCCCTCGTGGTCCTCGTGCTTGTTGCATGCTCTTGCGCATCTTGGGGAGGGTACCCTTGCATGTTCTGTTTACTTTGGGCGACGGAGAGTCTCATGTTCTTCAGGGATGTTATTCTGACCTACGTCCGACTGCAGTCAGGAGCAAGGTGGCGGTTGCGGCAGCCACGGGGCGCGCGGCCATCGTGGTCGGCGGCCACACTCTGCACCACCTCGCCGGCATTGGCGTTCCACGCTACGTGAGCGACTTCTGGAAGATGTCTTCCAGGAAAGCAGGGCTGGACCTAAACGCTGTGTTGCTGGACTTCGGCTGAGTTTGGTTTTTCGTTTTGGCAGGGAGGTACAGGAAAACAGGTATAGCAGAACGGACACCAAAACGGAAAACACCACGAAAAACAGCGTTTGGGTCCAGCCCCAGTTCCAGGAAAGAGTTCTGGGAGGGCCTGGACGTTCTCGTCATCGATGAGATCTCCATGTTCTCCGGGGAGTTCCTCGACAATATGGATCGGCATCTGCGGCGGATCCGCAAGAGCGACGAGCCTTTCGGCGGCCTGCAGCTGGTCCTGTCCGGGGACCCCTACCAGCTGGTTCCTATCGAGCCATCTTTCGGGGACATCCGCGGCCTTGACGCAAAGGCGCTCGCCGAGGAGAGGCCAAGGGCGGTTCTGTTAGGCTCTAAGCGGAAGGACGAGCAGGATCGGCCACGCGCAGAACGGGATAGGGGGAGGGGGGAAGGCTTCTTAGGAGCGCCCTGCTTCTCAGAAGGTGGGGGCCTTATCTACAGATGTGAGGCTTTCGCCTTCTGAGAGACAGCCTTCTTCTAATAAGCCTTCCCCCTCCCCCCTACCACCTGGTGCGCACCGCCGAAAGGAGCTGTTCCTCAACCGGGGTATGTTCTTCCATAGCGACGCGTTCTGGCGCCGAGGGTTCAGAACGGTGGAGCTTCGCACGAACCATCGTCAGGAGTCAGCCGAGTACTACGAAGCCCTCGAAGCTTTGCGGTCAGGGGGGGACGAGCTACAAATGAATAGCGCCATCGTCTTCTTCAATGCGCGGGTTCGCCCGCTCACCGAAGACGATAGTGCCCTGCAAATGGTCGCAACGATCGCAACGATGAGAGACATCAATGCGGATCGTTTGGGACGGTTGCAGGGCGAGTCGAGGACGTTCCAGGCAAACGACAGTGTGATGTTTGAGGATGACTTCGACGAGAGTCCATTACGGAAGGCCCTGTACGACGACCCAGAGAAGGCGCTGTGGGACAGCCAGTTCTTTGAGGACCTCAGCAACGGGTGTCCTGCCCTGAGGGACCTGGAGTTGAAAGTGGGTGCACGGGTGATGCTGGTGGCCAACCTCCCTTCCATACATGAAAGACTAGTGAACGGGCAAGCTGGGGAGGTGACAGGAATCTCACCCCTAGGTGAGGCAGACTGGGTAGACGTAAACTTTGACGATATCGGCCCGAAGCGGATCTTCCCGTATCTCTTTGAATCGGTGATCCCTGGCTTGGGTTCGTGCTTCAGATCGCAGATCCCTTTGCAGCTCGCGTGGGCGATCACCCATCACAGGTCCCAGGGGCAGTCGTTCACCAAAGTTCGCATTGACCCGTATGCATTCACTGATGGTCTACTCTACCTTGCGCTGTCTCGATGTCGCACCATTGAGGGCTTGGAGCTCACAAAGGACATTTTGCCCGAGTACGTCATGGTGAACCAGGACGCCATGACATTTATGAAATCCCAAGGGGACCCGCGTGCACAGGAGATGTTGGGTACCTGGATGCAGAGGCCCCCGCCGGACTCGCTGTTTTCAGCGCAGTTCTACCAGCTCGAACCAGTAGAGAAGTAGCCAGGCCCTTCCGTCACCACCCACCAAACCAACCCAACTCAACCCGAAGGCCCCAATTTGCACTCCGTTTTCTAGTGTGGGGGGCGTCGGGGAACATTGAATAAACATGTGGAACCCGTACCACCCCCAAGCCGAAATTTCGGTCTTCGGGTTGTGCTGGGGTGGTTTGGTAGCCAGGCTCGCCGGAGAGCCGTCGCGCGCGCGACCACGCAACTCACCACAGGGCGCCGAAGCGGCGGCTCCCTGGCAGCGGCGTGCCGCGTCGGGCGGGAACGCGTTCGCGGCCGGTCTCTGCAAGACGCCCTGCCTCCGCGAGGGTGCCCCGGAGGTGTTCTCTTCCGGTGGCGGCGGGGGCGCGATGAGCTCGGGGGCTCGTAAAGGGGGGGGTCTATCCCAGGGTGAGGCTATTTTCCTCTCACAGGCCGTATGAGCGATCTTCCTCTAAACCCATCTCTGCCCCTACCCCATCTTCACGTTCCCCCTATGAGCGAGAGACTCCGTCAGTGCCCTGTGTACAGTCGAAACCGATGATAGGGATGATGGACTTCCCAAGGGTATCCTGGCATCTTTGCCTCTTCGGGCATCTTCGGCCCGTCCTCAACCAACTGTCGATGGCCAGCATCGCTCGGAAAGTTTCGACAGGGACGTCTCCGAGGGTCCCGCCTCCTCTAGGGGCACAAATGATTACATGAACAAAAAACAACTCGGACCTCCGAGTTTTTATGTTGGTGTCATTCTTCATTCCACTATAGTCAAGAGGGAAAAAACACACAGACACAATTAATCGTCGATCCCCAAGAAAATATGGGAACATATGGGAATTGGGCGGGAAGACAAAAACCCAGAAAATATAGGAAGATGTAAGGAATAATTTGATTTGTGTGTATTTATGTGTGTGTCCTTGGGCCCCATGGATCTAGAAGGACCCCTGCTTCCTTAGAGGGCGAGGGTCTCACAGTCAAGACGTTGAGAACAGGGGCCGCTCCGGGCTGAGGAGGGGCTCGGGTGTGCGGGCCGCTCCTCGGATCGAGGTCGGGCAACCTGCGTTTGGCCCGGGCCCGCCCTGGCCAGAAAAGCCCCTTCGTTCCCTAGTGCAGTGAGCGGCTTGAATAAGGAACACTAACTTTTCAAAAGGGGCTCCGTCGTTCCTTAGGCTTGCATGCGTTGATTGTCGTCCCCTATACGTCATTGATTCGTTATCGTTCCCCATGCGTCACTCCCTGGAGAAAAAAGGGGCTTCGTTCCTTATCGATCGTTCCTTAGGTCAGGCCGATCCCTAGTACGCGTTCCATATGGTGGCACGACGACTGCATCTGTAGATGTAAGGCCTGCGCCTTCTAAGAAGCAGCCTCCTAAGGAGCCCTCCCCCCTCCGCCCAACCCCTCGCGCGCGCCGCGAAGCCTTCCTCCCCCGTCCACCATCCTCAGGGGCAGCGTCACGGGATGGGTAGGTAAGGGGGAAATCTGGGACCATTTGGGAACCTTTTTCGTGGTGTACGTTGATATGTTGGGGTTCGTTTGATTGTTCGGTTTGTGTTCCTTGTTTCGGTCTTGTCTTTTGTTCTCTCTCATCCTCTTCGTCGTTACCTAAAGCTGCAATATAATCCTATTGAGAAGCCGCGCAAAAGGATTCGATTTGCAGTCTACACCATAAACATCCTGTGAAAATCGCCCACACAAAGACTCACATTGAAAAGCTGGACAACAAGAGTTCTAGTTGCAAGCCATACACTAGAAATCAATGTGCAAATTCCCCCCAAAAAAGAATCCGATTGAAAAGTCGCACAACAGGATTTTATATGTAATACACGCGACAGGAAACAACTTGTAAATCGCCCACACAGGGGTTTCTTCTGAAAGGGGGCCAAAACAAGTTTTGGATCCTCCAGAAAAAAAAACATAAGGACAACAAACACACATAACACCGTCGCCCCCTTGCATTTCTTTCTCAACCATCCTGTGGTGTTGGTTTTTCGTTTTGAAGAGACGGTTCCCGCGTCCCTCTTCTCCTCTTCTCCTCTCCTCTCTCATCTTTCCTCCCTCCTCTCTCCTCCCGTCACCCTCTCACTTCGGCACACCCCTCACACGTTTCGTGGCACCATAGGGAGCTCCACCTAAGGTCACAGTGGCGAAGTTCGCATGGCGGCGCCGCCCCATTTTGGCGCACCCCTCATTCGTTTCGTTGCCCCATAGGGAGCCCCACTTAAGGTCCCAGTGGCGCAGTTCGCACGGCGGCGCCGCCCCACTTTGGCACACCCTTCACACGCTCCGTGGCCCCATAGGGAGCTCCATTGAAGTTCCCAGTGGCGCCGTTCGCATGGCGGCGCCGCCCTATGTTGGCACACCCCTCACACGTTTCGTGGCCCCATAGGGAACTCCACAGAAGGTCCCAATGGCGCAGTTCGCATGGCGGCGCCGCCCCATTTTGGCACACCCGTCACACGTTTCGTGGTCCCACAGGGAGCTCCATCCAAGGTCTCAATGGCGCAGTTCGCGTGGCGGCGCCGCCCCATTTTGGCACACCCGTCACACGTGTCGTGGCCCCATAGGGAACTCCACCTAAGGTCCCAGTGGCGAAGTTCGCATGGCGGCGCCGCCCCATTTTGCCGCACCCCTCGCACGTTCCGTGGGCCCGTAAGGAGCTCCGCCTAAGGGCCATATGGCGCAGTTCGCATGGCGGCGCCGCCCCAGTTCGGCACACCCCTCACATGTTTCGTGGCATCATAGGGAGCCCCACCGAAGGTTTCAGTGGCGAGCTGCGCATGGCGGCGCCGCCCCCTTTTTGGCACACCCCTCACATGTTTTCGCGGCCACATAGGGAGCTTCACCGAAGGTCCCAGTGGCTCAGTTCGCATGGTGTTTCCGCCCCATTTTGGCACACCCCTCAAACGTTTCGTGGCCCAACAGGAAGTTCCAGACCTTCTTCTTTCGGTCCTGTGGACTTCTCGCCTTGGGCCGTTTGTTGTCCGGCGCGCTGCCCCCTCGGTCGACGTCGCCCAGGCGTGATCCTGGACTGCGGCCGCCATGAGGTCGGGAGCGGCGAGAAGGAGGACGACGATTGGTGGCTGGAGCTCTATGCGCTGCTCTCGCGCGCCACCCGCCTCGAGGACCTCCCGCTCATGCGGGCGCCGCGCGTCGAGTTCTTCCTGGCGGGGCCGCCGGAGGGCTTGCGGAAGCAGCTGGGGCAGTTTGCGGCGCGTGCGAAGCGGCGCAGGAGGGGGCCGACGGCCGTCGCTGGGACCCTCTCGGGGCGACCAGCGCGCGACGCGGAAATTCCGCGCGGCGCTCTGCCCGGCGCTTCGCTCGCCCGTCGTCGCTCTGCCCAGCGGTCAGTTCCTTGCCCGCCATCAGCCATCCAACTAGCTCTCTTTGCTCCGCGCCGCGGGCGACCCGCGCTTGTCGCTGGGGCCCTCTCGGGGCGACCAGCGCGCGTCGAGGGAATTCCGCGCGGCTCTTTGCCCGGCGCCTCGCTCGCCCGTCGTCGCCCTGCCCGGCGGCCGGATCCTTGCCTGCCGTCGGCCGGCCAGCTAGGTCTCTTTGCCCCGCTCAGCTGGCGACCCGCGCGCGTCGCTGGAATCCCTTCGGGGCGACCGGCGCGCGTCGCCGGGGCTCCGAACTGCGCTGCGTTCGCGGCCTGGGCGCCAGGGCAGAGAAGGAGAAAAACAAAAGAGGAGGCGGGCGCGAACCTCGCGATGGGGCGCGCCGACTCGGGCGTCGCGACGCGCGGGCGCTGCCATCAGGGTTCCCAGCGGGGCCCCGTGCCCGAAACGTTTGCAGTCATATGCATTTTCGCTAGGTGTAACCATGCCCGCATTCGCGCAGAAGATCCATTCGCGCGCAGACTCATTCACTATCAGATTCAATCGCGATCAGACTCGCCCGCTCTCAGCCCGCCGCACTAAGACTCATCGTCTTCGTTCTTTTTGGGCGCCCCGCCGCGCATTTCGGCGAGCCCCTCGCGCGGTTCGTAGCCCCATGGGGGGCGTCGCCGAAGACGATATTCACTATTGCGATACTCACAACTGCACATGGTTGGGCCCTTCGCCAAGCAATTTGATTCACTCCCGCTCCGCCGCCGGCAATCAGGGCTCGGCATGGGCGAGCAGGGCTCGGCGCGGCGTCGCAGTGGCCAGCAGGGCTCAGCGGGGCAAAGCATAGCAGCGACTAGCAGAGGCTAAGCAGGGATGTGGGATGATTATAGTAGAGGTAGCTTCAGTCCCCCATCGGATTCACACAGAAGTGCATACATCTAATTCGACTCGACTCCAGGTGCTTCCATCCTTCCTGGGCTTATATTGGAGGCGGATCCACCTCTACTGGGATTATAGTAGAGGTGAATCCTCATTGCATGCAATTCAGTACACGTTGCTGCATCCTTAACCTGTCTCTGCAAGAGGTAGACCCACGGATCCCTGTAGCAATGGGTTTGTCCTTGATGAGATTACATTAAATGCGGCTCCGCATGGCTCAGCAGGCATCGCATGGCTAGCAGGTCATCGAGGTGCTGGCAGAACTTGGGAAGGCCAGCAGGTGTTGTCAAATATTCGCAGGTCTCGGCAAGGCATATCAGGGCTAGCAGGGCTTGGTCGGACTTTCAAGGCTTAGCTGGGCCTGGCAAGTGGCTATCATAATCCATTTGGGTTCTGCACTGAGCCGCCGTCCTCAGCGCTGCCGAGCAGGGCTGGGCTAGGCCTGGCAGGGCTTAGCAGGGGCCTGCAGAGCTTAGCACGGCATCGCAATGGCTGCTGTGGTGGAAGTGAAGTTCTTCGAATTATTCGGAGGCGCGTCGCGCGGGGCAGGGGGGCTCTGCGCGCGTCTGGTGACGTGCGCTCGCGTGCTCGGCGCTGCGCCCACTGTGGCGTAGTGCTGAGGAGGTCAGCGGCGGCCGTCTCCATCGCGCCCGCGGCGTCGACGTCGGCGAGCCTCGGCGCGAGCGGCGATCCCGATCGCGACAGCGATGGCGATCGCTTACGAGAAGGTCACGGCCATGACGATCGCTGT